TGAGTGCAAGATGTGTGGGAAGACATTCAAACGTTCCTCCACCCTCTCCACTCACCTCCTGATCCACTCAGACACGCGGCCCTACCCCTGCCAATACTGTGGCAAGCGCTTCCACCAGAAGTCGGATATGAAGAAGCACACTTACATCCACACTGGTGAGAAACAAAACGTTCCCAGGGAGAAAATGCAGAGCAGAGTCCATCCTGTTGGCACACTCACACAGTCCCTACACACAGAGATGCTGCACTGGGGAGAAGCGTCCAAAGGCACTAGAAAGTCATTCTTCTCTGCACAGTGGGATGGCAGAAGGTCTAAGCATCCCCAAGATGCATGTCCCCTTCTGTGTGACAAGGAGGTGGTTGTTGACCAGCCTCTGGTGTGTGCCATGGTCGTACCCAGCCCTGGATGTCGGGTCAGAGTGCAGACACCTTAGCAGGGCAGCTGGGCTGGCAGCCTGGGCATACCCACTCAGGCCTGAGTCTGCTAAAGGGCATTTCTACCTCTCTTCTCTCTCTGTTAAAGTTTCTTACCATTTTCTCTGCCCTGCAGGGGAGAAGCCCCACAAATGCCAGGTGTGTGGCAAAGCCTTCAGCCAGAGCTCCAACCTCATCACCCACAGCCGCAAGCACACCGGCTTCAAGCCCTTCAGCTGTGAGCTCTGTGCCAAGGGCTTCCAGCGCAAGGTGGACCTGCGGAGGCACCGGGAGACCCAACACAGCCTCAAGTGAGGGATGGCTCCAGGTCTGTGCTGGAGCTCCCACTGCCAGGGCATGCTCCAGGGAAGAAGACTCTCCCCAACGTCTCCATCCAGCATGGGGCTGCCACCTCAAAGCTGGTGTAGCATCCCGTGTTCCTCTGGGGACTGGCAAAGTCATGTCATTGGCACCCCAGGGCCTTGAGCATGCCAGTATGAGACAAAGAAACTTGTGGGAGCTCTCACTTTCCAATTGCAACAGGTACCAGCCCAGATCTGACATCACCTGCTCAAGTGCAAATCCAGAGGAATTCCTCCAAGGTCACCATTACTCTGGATTTACACCAGATGCAGGATCCGGTTC